CAGCGAGCGAACTGTCTGGTTGAACTGAAACGTACGCGTTTGAGCCACTGTACCGTGAATACAAGAATAAAAATGGTTAATGGTCGAATGTTGGTTTATACGTAAAAATTTCTCCCGTATCGTCAACCGGGGTATAAAAGCCCGTACGAATTTCTCATGCAAAGGTAATTGACGTTTTAATGAAATTGTTACCCATTAGCGCGTTCGAACGTGCGTGACTTTCGTTCGCGTCGAATTTGCCCGCGTCGAGTTCCACAGAGGAACACGGGGCGGTACGTTAATTCCAAAATCCTGTGAGGCACTTCGACCGTCGTCATCTTGTATGTATCACGCTCCGTAGTTGCGTAGACGCTACGTGCGGACGGTGGTATAGTAATCTACTTCGCGCCAAGTTTCCGCCGAGCTAGAGTTAAGTCGGCCGCGTCGAGTAAGCCCCCGGTGTTACCACGGCTGATGAGTCCGGGACACTTTGGGGGTACGGTTACCGAAAGACGACACGTTCCCGTCGCATCACGATAGAAAGTCACTTCGCCGACTTCGGTATCGGCGTATCGGCGTATCGGCGACCGCCTTCTTGATACCGACTTTCTGAGTACCGATCGTATCGTCGACGGCGGCGTCGGGATCACTTCGTTTACCGCGCAAAACTGATTTTCTGTTTGTTTTAACAACTTCAAATCAGATCTCACAAAAGGTTCAACCTGATTTCAAGCTGGGCACACTTTGCTTCTTATAAATTCGTATCTCATACATTTTATTACTTTCGGATCTATCACACGCGTAGAGTCTCCCGTAATAGGAGACGAGTCTGTGATTAACGCGACGTTATTGCAATGTAAAGAATACGTGCAAATAATGCAGGGTGCAAATTAATGATACTTTTGCTGAAAATTAAATAAGAATTTTCAGACAACCTCAAGATTTTAGAACTACATATCTTGAACAACAATGAATTATTTATTGCCAATCGGTGCGACTGTTACAAAAATAGGAATTTTTATTTAGAAAGTATTTTGCATTATGTTTCGTGCTGGAGATGTGCAATCTGCTAGACACTTTAATATACAGAGCTGAATTAGCTAACTCCAGCGCATTCTGGTGTTCAACATTTTATATGCATTACCAAAAGCGGTAATCATATAACTTTGTGTCATACCACTAGTTAACTTAGAAGGCTTAGAACTGAGGAGAGTATGTATTTCGTGTATGCTCGTATTCGGTACTACGTAATGAACTTTTAGTGGTCATACAGTTTAACGTTAATGTATCTCACACCTGCACAATAAAACTTTAACGTTTACGATGCCGTATTAGTCGAAATCTGCTTCGCATATTTGTATTAGTTTTTAACTAAAGTTTGCTCTCCTGGGAGATTTTTAATCTACAAAAATTTAATGCCTCCTAACGTGTTGCATCTCAATCGTTATAGATGCAAAACAGTAACAGGTTCTATTTCCGATCAGCAAGAGAGCATTAACTCAGTCTTCTCAAACATTTATTTTGTTGACCGCATTATATCGGCAATACACTACAATTAGCGAGGGGGAAACCGCTGAGGGTATTGCGGTGTACAGATTTGCTCCATTACTGAGCATTGCTAGGCATTACTAGGCATTTGTTGGGCATTAGTTTGGGCATTAGGCCTTGCTGGGGCATTATAAAGATAAAATAAGATCACAGTCTCTCTAACATCGTTGCCACGGACTCATCTTTCGAATCACGGTTATTCAGCCTCTTTATGTCTGGGACCATCTAGAGATCGACTGATTAACAGTTTAAGAGATGAGTCTGTCCGATAACTTGAAGTTACACGAGTCTAACTGAGGAAGACCAGAAGAAGGGTCGAAACGTATTATTTATACTTTATACTATTAAAGAGAGAATTTTAATTCATACTGTGAGAACTGAGATCCGTTCATTTTGTGGCTCACATCGGCACTTCTCCTTCCATAATTTTCTTCTGGGAGCCTTCACAATTTTGGAATATAAAATAAGATAAAACAAGATAAATAAGATAATAAGATAAAGTCTACTGGGCATTAGTGAGCGTTGGTGTACAAGATTTTGGTCAGCGGTTTTCCCCTCGACTAGTAGCATATATTTTTAGATTTGGCTTTCTATTGTACAGGGTGTTATGCAATACCCGCCTCACCTCTTATTTACTGATAGAGCGGACTAGACTGAGTCGAAAAGTCCTCTACCATTTTGCAATTTTCGCAAAAGTCAACGAGTTATTAATTATTAAAAATCGCTGTCTTAGCCCGACTTAGCAACTTAAAAATAGACATATTCGTAAACACTCAACTAGCATTTCTTATATAAATTTAAATTACATGAAATTCGAATCGCGGGCCGTCGCGGTTTATTTAAAGTTAGATATATTATTATATTTTTAGAAGATATATAAATTTATAAATATTACTTTATACTTAGTATTTTATTAAAGCAAAAAATGTTCATAACTTACGTTAACGTATCTCTATTGATTACAGTTCGATTGCCAGGAGAGTTTTATAAAAAAAATAAAACGATTAAAATGTAAAAAGATGTATCAGAGTTACTTCAGTGTCATTAAATTTGTTTAAAATATTTGTCACATGTCACACACACAACTTTTAAATATAACTATATTTAATATAAAAAATACAATATAGACGAACTGTCAATAAAAGATTACTGACAAATACGTTCATATTGTAATATCATCTTCGAAAATTGTATCGTTTATAACTGTTTGAATTAGGCGGTCTATCGTATGTAATTGACGAAATCTGGAAATTTGTATGTCAAGCATTTATGACTGACGTGCAAATTTTTGGTAATCAACGTATTACAGGCACATAATATCTATTAATGTGAATATTTAATGAACAGCACCATCAAGACGTTTCTTGGTTAATTTGTTTAATTTAATACATATTGCCGCACCTAAAAAGACAAATCGCCAAACTCGACTTTCTTGGTTGGTCATAGTCGGAACTCCTAAGATTAAAACCGCGTAATGGAAAAAACTTCTTCATTACTTTGGACTTCTTGATAAATAAACAGCTTGATGTTCGGATGAGCTGCACAAACGAGATAATTAGCACCGCGCGACGTATAAATGGACTATCGATCGCGGAATAATGACTTCACACTTTTAATTTTACCGAGTACGCCTTGCTGTAAAAACCATTCTGAGATAAATGCATTATCGAGCTTTCCCAGCAACTCATCGCACTCGAATTTTCGAACTATTTTATAAGGTAACTTCGAAAACACTTGAACAAAGTTCTTCAGCATTTCTTTCGGTAAATTGTGGCAGGTTCCAAGGCTAATAGTTCCAGAGCTCATGTAAATAAATTCTTCCATTGCGTCATCTAGGAATCGTCCTAAGTTCTTGTCATTGATTTAAATTCATTACGCATGTTAATTGCATAATAAAGAAAGTAGATAATAGATAAGTAATTCGTGATCATCTAAGAAAAAATAATAATTTTTAAAGATTACATAGTAGTAAAGACAGATGGCAGTCTTTTTATGTTGATATCGCTAAAAAAATACTGCATCTGGTTCTCCCGTCTGGGGAAGAGATGAAATATGTGAGAGTATCGGATCCTCGTTGTCTAACATCACATTTTTATTCTTTATTATGTCAATGATGTGAGGTACGTTTTTTTCCGAAATATTTTTAATGATTTTCTGCTCTAGTGTCACAAAATAATTAGTGCCATATGTTGACACAGTTTTATAATTTTTGCCAAATCGAAGAATTTTCTTCTGACAGCTATTTAATTACCAGTTTAAAGGATGCTATGCAAATGCAGGACTATAAAAAATATACGTATTATAATTTTTGTATCATAAATTAATCAATTTTAATCTTCTGTCTCATTTCCAGTATCCTGTCAAAAGAAAAACTCAATATTTTAACGCTTATAATAAACAGTTCCGAAATATTGACCATTTTTTATATATATTATTGCAAGATAACTTGTCTTATCTGCAAATGATAATCTTATCTGTAAGATGAGTGTTAAATCTATGCGCCATAACAGATATTGACAGATACCTTACTAGCTGTAGAATAATCGCGTTGAACTTTTTTATTACTGTCGTTTCTGTAGAGTTCCTTAAATTTTGAGTCAGTAAATATTTTTATGCTCGCTTGATACAATAATGAACGCAAAATTTGAACATCGGCAATTACAACACTAAATTGTTATTACCATTTTTTTAACCACGAAATTTAAATACAACAAATTAATTTCTGTATAATTTTTATTATTGAATATTTCTTCATGTCCACGTTTATTTAAAGCTAAATACGATTAGAAAGCCGTATTTGATGACACGAGTATTCTATCGGCATTCGATATATGTATTGTTTGTCAGTAGAAACTGCAAAGATAAAACGATAAACATTTTACATGTAACTTTCCACATTTTGCCACTGCCGTGAATGCTCTTCTAAAGTAGATTGCAGTAGACTTGTAGAAGTTACGAGTTACTCGTATAAATATGTAGTTTAACGGCCGTTATCAAGACTCAAAAGTTAGTCTCCAAGGCTTTTCCACCTCTAGATACTTGCTTCATAATTCTTTGATTATGCTATTCTCACTGCCATTAATACAGATAATATTCACTACGTCTACGCTACTAATATACATTATGTATACACATTATGCTAATAAATTTATACATATTTGCTTACACACCATCGTTATAAATTAAACATGTAACAATAGACGCAGTTATATTTAAACAGATATTGATAAAAATATTCTGTTTCAATTATAATCTTTAGTAAAAAATTATACAATATAATTTAAGGTGACCTAAGAAACCGTACACGAAGGCAGCAATTTGCAATATTAATGAAGTTATTCTTAGCATGCAGAGGATTAGTTAATGCAATTTCGGTTTAGTGTAAGAACAGTAAAGTCCCCTATTATAAGATAGACTTCTAATGAGACAACAGGTTTTCAACGTCCAAATTCAATCGCAAATCTTTTTTTGAAACGATTACACGATCTAACGATGAATTTTCCACTAAACAGATTTTACTCCAAGGGTAATAAATTCATTGTAGAAGCAGCAAATTATCCTATTACTTTAGCAGAAACCCTGCTGTCTCGTATTAGGAACCTATCTCATAATAGGATTTTCCCTTATCTTTTAACATTAGAAACTACCACAGAGAGCTTGATAATATTCTTAAATGAAATCGAAATATCTTAAGTAGTATCCATGTAGAAAGAAGAGATGTTATAAATAATACTATGGCGAGAAACGCGATGATGTCCCAGTCGTATCGTCGATACCACGGCTCATCGCCAAGATTATTTCGCAAGAAATGCGTCCCATTTTGACGCATCACGTATTCAATCCACTGTACCACATGTTGAAGACTGTCATACGGTGAATCCTTATAAAGTTTACTCAGCTGTACTATTCGATCTTTGTACCTGGAAACAAAGAATGATGTTCTTACATTTTCCAGCATATAAACCTTTTATCTTTATACTACTTCTATCAATATGTAATGTAAGAGGGATGAGATAGTTTATCAATCTATGATTTAAGGTAATACAATACCTCTTGTTGTTTATAACTTCATGTATACCGGCCGCAATGCTTTCTTTCGAGGAATAACGTATGTCCAGACGAATTCCAATACCTAGTCTTACCATATTTAGCACTTGAAAGGTTTGATCCCACAGAACGGGAAAACCTACTACTGGAACCCCATAATGAATAGTTTCTTCAGTACTTTGAAAACCACCTTGGTATACAAATAGCTTGATATTTGGATGAGCTGCGAGCGAGAAAATTGGCAATAATGAACTAACGACTACTAATTCCAAAATAAAAATACAGAGATGGTTAAACTTAAGTTAGTTGCGCTCGTAATATTACCGAGAATGCTTTGCTGGGGGCACCAGTTCAATGCCAGTATATTTTTATATTTCTTGGGCAACAGATCAGGGTTAAATTTCCAAAGAATTCTGTACGGTACAACTGAGAATGCTTCAATGAAAGTTTCAAGTCTACCTTCCGGTAGATCCTCCCATTTAACAGTGGTTCCCAAACTGACATAAATAAATCCTTCCTTGGCGTCGTCAAGGAATTGTTTTATATTCTAACGAATATAACGAGATTAATGGTTTAGATTTATGTGTAAAAGCACAACGCAGCACTATTGAATCTCATTCGAAGTGCTCGGAAAAATAGCATATATCCATATACAGGGTGAGGCAATAACTTTGTCCACCTCGAATATCTCCGCTATTTTTTTGTATATTATATATTTTTTTATATTATATCGTATATAAAATTTTTGTATATTATAACATACACAAAATTTCTGTACACAAAAGTTTTCAATAATTGGAGGACTATTGCAACAGCATATTCATTAGACCAAATCAAGTAAAGAAGTCCTGTACCACTTTTCCCTCCGACAAACAGTTATCGAGGTATCATAAACTAAATATTGAAAAAGTTATCAATTTTCTCTTGAATATCTCAAAAAGTATTAGGCAAATCAGAAAATATTTCAGACAAAAGTTGTTCATATTAATTATTAGGTAGTGTAATAAACAACAGGGGGTTCCCGAGAGGGAAACCGTTGACCAAAATCTTGTACACCAATACCCGCTAATGCCCAGCGGGCATTATTTTATCTTATTATCTTCTTTTATCGTGTTTTATCTTATTGTTAATTTATCTTATTTTATCTTTATAATGCCTCAGCAAGGCCTAATGCCCCAAAAAATGCCTAGTAATGCCCAGTAATGCCGCAAATCTGTACACCACAGTGCCCTCAGGGGTTCCGTTTAAAAGAGATATTCGAGGTGGACGAAGCTATTGCCTCACCCTGTATATATATATATATTGTAAATTGTATGTGTGTATATATACTTGTGGTAGAATATCCGGCGTTTTTGTAATATGAAAACTATGGTAAAATATGACATTCCGTTGTTCAGGTCTGCCATACGAAAACACTGGATGTTTATTTACAAGGTATATGCTCATATTTTTCGTTATGTCGTCAATATGCGGTAGATCTTGTCCTAAGTACTCTTTCGCGATTGCATCCTCTACAGCAGAGTGTTCGCTCGCCCAGGAATACATATTTGCCCACACTTCGTAAAAATTGACGAGTCTCCTCCAAAATGGCATATTAGTTTCGACTGGCGTATTGGTTTGCCAATTGGAAATATGCGATGGGAGAATGATAGATCCAAAGATATAGCGCATATGATTGAATATGTCCAGGCTTGAAATACCTACGTCATGTCACCTTTTATTGCCTCATGATAAGTAGTTACAAAGCTAGTGATTCAAAACACTAAATGGATTGCAATCTAAGTTTCCTAATTGATTTATTATATAATAATTTTTAGTTTATTATTAATGTGGTTCTCTTACCTATGAGAGGAGCTTTAAATCTGTACGCGAGAGCATTCAGCGAAATTGTAGGGCCCTGCGCTACAATAACAGCGTCAAAGTGCTCGTTGCTATCGACTGCATATAACTTTTTCATTTCTGGATTTTTATAAACCTCACGATTGAGGACGTGTAGCGATGGCCATGCCACGGTTCGTTCGAATTCTAGTAACTGTAACTCAAGACTCGCTACGGTAAGGCTAGCATATGGTATAGTTTTAATTCCGGGAAAATCCTTATACCCGTAAAAGTATTGTAAGTCAATTTCTGTATAATTAGTTAAAGAAGAATTTTTCATAGGCACTGTAGTGGCGGATACAATTTCGTGGCCTTTTTTGTGTAATTCCAAACACAAACTGCGATAAGTTATTTGATGACTGTACGCTGGATAATTCGATACGAACAATATCCTTTTGGCATATGCCACATTGTGCTGCACTATCACAAACAAAACTTGAATTATTACGACGACGCACGCTTTAGTCCACATTCTTCCAACGATCACCATCAACTTGTATTGCCAATAATGTAAACTGTTCTTATATTGTCTATGCCAACGGCTATCTATACCCTTCACGGTCACGTGAACAAGTGACTTACAAAATAGCACAATACGAATCGTTTAAAATGCGCGTCTACTTTTAAATAAGTACCGTAATTATCTAGATAAACATCAAGCGCTGAATGATTAACTAGTCAAATTGCGTGCATAGGAAAGGGCACTATTTGAAAAATAATTTCGGTTTTAGGCTTGAAGAGATTATTAGGCCCAATAAAAAATTTTACAAAGACCAACGTTTTCCCTATTTCGATTAGTATCGCGCGCAGTTAATGTTTCACAGTTTTACGTCTCGATTACTTCACTCTAAGAAATATGGATGTGAATTCTCACCAGTGCACAGTGGTCGAAATCGGGATCGTAGGGGACAAAAATCCATTACACGGTCAATTTTAAACCAAATCAATTGAGACTTGGCAGACTAAAGCATTTTGGATCGTAGAATCTGACTACACTGCCGTAATTTTGAAAATCAAAAATGAAGAATGAGAAATTGCCACTTAAAGTTATATTTTTTGGACTGGCTCAGGCCAAGCACAGGTATAATTGGGCAAAACTAAATAGTGGATTCATTGCATGAGCTAAAAAAGAGATACCCGTGTTTTTTCTTTTTCAATTTTGAATTTTTTTAAACAATTATTGTTTAAACAATTTTTATAAAATTCAAAATTGTAAAAGAAAAAACACGGGTATCTCTTTTTTAGCTCATGCAATGAATCCACTATTTAGTTTTGCCCAATTATACCTGTGCTTG